TTTTTCGCCTTGTTCCTGTCCTTTGTATCTTCATCGGTTTTTTACTCGGTCAAGCAAGTGCGTAAAAAGGACAAGGACAGAGAGGTGTACAATTCCGAACAGCTGACCAACTGGGCAGCCTGATAGGCCTCGGAAAGGCAACATGGTCCTGTTACTCATGCATGTGCCACATCCATCTCGGGAAACAGCACGGGGTCTTCTTCCCGGCCCCCACCCTAATGCTGAAATCACCCAGTTGCGCCGCTGGTACCCAGATAAGGGTATACCACCACGCTGTGGGAAATTTTTGCAAAATGCGACCCCTCCGCGGAACTTCCCTTCCCCTGGTATGTCCTCTTTTCCATTTCCATTCCACCCACCATTTTCCCAACTTTTTCTCAAACTTCTGCCGTCGAGCAGGCGGCAGGGGCGAGGGAGAGTGGGTGTGGTGCGTAGTGCGCGTGAAAAGTGAAAAAAAAATACAATCAGATAAATTTTTCTCACGTCAACACAGGACACCCATTGTGTTTTGCACAACTGATGCTCAGCCCTGATCATAATCATGTTCCACACGTACCCCAATCATTATCAATGGGAGTGGCTAGGTTTTTACTCAAAAACATCATTTGGCGGAAAATGCAGAGTCATACGACCCCCTCTAAGAAGAGGGTTCTCATAAATCCGGCATAACCACGGAAACGGGGAGAGGGGTTCACGTAAAGGCAACGCAGGAGGCCGCTGGGAAGAGGTATAGATCTGGCTACTCTAAAGTTTTCTGCCGTTAATTCTTGCCCTGCAAGCCAGCCGTTCCGCCAGTCTACTTCCCACAGTTGATAGTGTAATCGTTCTCTGTTGAGGTTACTGGAATCCTCCTTTTGGAGGCGTCGAATTACTCCGCATCTTCTTAACCCTATAGTGTTGCCCAACCCTAATTCAACCGCTCCCATTCCAACTTATCTGGCACTTTCGCAATCGTTCCCTTTCGCTATTAGTTTTCCGGAACGACCCTCACGCCTAAATCTTGCACAACGAGAAACCCCTAGCTATAGTTCAGGAAATCCAAATCGCGGTAAAGCGTCCATACCGGCAACCTATCTTCCAGAGACTTGACTTGATACCAGGGCACATCATTAGTTGGGGACTTTGTTCGAGTACGTAAGACCGCCTCTTTGAGAGGGAGTTAATACAACCTCACCCCCTAGTTCCCTCCTCCGACACGATCGAGCTGTCGAGCGGTATAGAGCACATGTGAAACGGAAAAACTGCGAGGAGTACGACCTCCTTTCTCCATCCTACCTACCACTTTCTTAGATTATACCAACTTCCTGCCAATTTTCTGGAATTTTCCCAAAAATTTTCCCCTTTTTTCCCCTGAAATTTTGCTATGGAGGAGAGAGTGGAGGGTCTATTCACACCAGAGAAAGAGGAAATCTCGAAAATTTGATAAGCGGGAAACATTTACCGGACGCCGCGAAGTTCCCTAAGGAGACAAATACGACCCCCCCCCCATCCTCTCCCAGCAGCGACTAAACACGACCCTGGCCCCTCACAGCATCCGCGAAACAAGAAAAATCAACTATCAAAAAAATTTTCCAGACCAAATACGACCCCCCCCCTGTTGGGAATCCCCAAATGATGTCCCTGCTTGACACACAGGAACGTCATGCTGTATCAACCAGGCCCTGCTACGAATGTCGCGCTTTTAGTTTTACTCTATTTCACTCTGCTTTTATTTTTACTCTACTCTATTACTCTACTTTTGACGCTTTATTCGCTGCAACTCAAATTTCCTGCACCACACCTGAAATTCCCATCCTTCCAGTATTTCTACAATGATGTTATCGATATCAAGAAGTGAATTGTCGGTAGCCCGCGTGGATGAAAAACGGTGAAATACGTGACCATAGAGGAGAGCAATATGGGGGATACTGCTTTTCATGCTGTTTTTCAATCTGCACTTAACCTTTGTACACAATCGCCCTCAATGTACACACGAGGACTCTTATGTAAGCACCGTTTTTCCATCTCCGATGAAAACTCTTCACTGTTTGGAATCCTTCTCTAGATAAGCTCATGATAAGCAGCCATCTCGTGCTACTATGAAGTCACAAAACCGGATTCTACAGCTCACCTACATCCACGGGGAAAAAAGGTCAAGGACTTCTGACATTCCTACTGCCCGCGTGGTGCACTTCCTGGTCGAAATAATTGAGAGCTATTGAGAGCTACAGACTTCATCCAGGTAAGAGCGAAAAACAGAATTTCAAAAGATCAAAATTCTGTTATTGTGGACATCGGAAGAAACGGAAGAAGGAATTAGGTCTCTGGTCTCTGGAGGGTTATCGGACCGAAACACCAGTCATTTTCGGAGTCTCGGAGGTGAATTTGAAAGCATTGAGAAACCCCCGCATCGTCTTGCCAACGGTCCTGCACACACTTTCACTTTAAGGCCGAACCAAGAGCAAATAAAACCTCTAGAACTGACAGTTGCGCAAAAAGTCCAAAAAGCGAATAAAGCGGTAAACGGGTGGACATTCCCTTTCACAGAACGGGTTCATTTGACCATGCTGGCCGCCCTTCAGCGCAGTCCGCGACAATAGAAAATAGTTCATAAAATAATCGGTAAGAATCCAAAAATGCTTCTGTGTCCAAGCTAGGGGTGACTGTATGAAATACAGCTGTAAGTAGGGCAGTACTAATTGAAGTGGTTGCCTCATGCTAGCCAGGTAGCAGGCCTCAGTGGCCTATATCATCCATAAAGCCCTAAATACTGTCGTCAAGCTTCGCGGTATAGATGGCCTTTCAGTTGAAAGCAGGTAAGTAGAAGGTGGCCGTGATAAGAAATTTTTCTCTCATGACTATGACATGACAAGATTACGAGTTCATAAACACTTGGTATACAGTACCCACTAAAACTGCGCGTGAAATTAAATGCGACGCCTCCATGAATGCACATAATTGGAGTGGCGAGTTTGTAATACTGTGCACTGTCTGACCTCTTGAGCATATAAGCTAATCCTTGGCATGTCGCTTGGAAGAGGTCCAGCAACTCGCTAGTACAGGTGAATGAGTGTGTCGTAACATATGTGCTACAAGGGGACCTGACACAATCATCCTTCGAACTAACAAACTTTGGCTGTTCCCAGCTGTCCTTAAGAATTACTGGGGCGATAAGCAAAGACAAGCGGGTGGGGAACAGCCTACTCTTCTCTAATCCTAGCTGTGCTGCGCTATGAGACGGCCCAAGGACAACATCAGTGTCAGACGAGACTCTCGACCATTCCTTTTCCCGGCTATTCTGGGACTTTCAAAACGTTTTGGCTACGTAATCCATCAATTGCAGGTCATGAATCTCCTAACAGTGACAGCGCTAAACCAGAGCGCGGGCAACAAAAAGGAGATAACTGCTTACTGACGGCGCTATTCGACAAATGTCAGTCATTGTTAATTGATAATCAAGGAAAACCGTCCACAGAACAGTTCTGCATTCGAAGGCTTTGAACTAGGACAAATAAAAACAGAAGAAAGTATATTAACAGGTACTATTCCATATTCCTTGGATACCGTATTGAGGTCACGGAACGAGTGCAGGGTCAGTTACCTACTTAGTTAAGGGATCTGTTAGTTTTAAAATCAAAAATACCTTCTTTTTGATGTTATCCCAAATAATTCGAGTCATCTCATCACCATCAAGGTCCACAACAGGATTATCAACCTTGATTTTTTCACGCTTCAAAGTAGTCGTGGTGGCAATAGCCCTACTTGAAGCATGGACCTGTCGAGCGTTCCAGAGCACCAGGCGGATCGAACGCTGCATCCTGCAAAATGCAATGGAATGTCCAAGCAAGAGTACAGGGTGATATGATCGACATGTGAACATGAAATGGTGCAGAAAGCAGCGCTCGTTGTGACGTGGAAGCGTTGACGTCAGATGCGTCAGGCGCCGCCATCTGACACACCAGAGGTATCCCAGTGTACAACATTCAAAAAGATTCTAAGAACATCACGAAAATATCATGAGAACGATCAAGATGATGCTATCAGATCATTAACTTGTTTATCAACAATGACCTTGAGGGCATTTTAAGGACTCCCATTGCAAAAGTCGGACTCACACAATGGAGATGAAAGCCTCTGTCTAACAATAAGCTCAAAGGGGAGGAGCTCCGAAATTGGAGAGTTGGTTTGCGGTATTTCTACCTGGATGACGTCCAATCACACATTCGCACAATGACCCCCCCCCCTCCCCGAACTCTCTCGCGCCCAGGTTACTAGGGCTACTTGGAGAAGAATTATGGTAGAAAGAAGGCTCGTTTCCTTCCACTAAAATAATTCGTTTGTAAGCGTTTCAAATCAGTTATTCACTTGTATTCACGGGGTATGTGACAAGATAATCGCAACTCGCCGCGCTAAGCGAGCGTCGCGTGCGACTTCACGCCCGCAAATAACGATTTCTTTAGGCGTAGATGGAACACTGTAAAACCAAATTTAAATAATGTTTACGTCGTCGCATTCTACATGGAATCCGATGGTCCAATCATTGGGTGTTGCAAATTAAGGAGGCACCGTGCTCATGGTTGCGCGCGGGCGAAGCGGCAAATTACGATTGTCTTGACCGTCTTCGGTATCTAGCGACATGGCGCGCACGATTATCGGTTGGTGCGAGTTACCTCAATACCTCTTGGAGGTAGGCATGAACTTTGGTAAGAGTCGAGATATTTACACCAATTGGAAGAGTAAATTGGACCAAAAATAGAAGCAGGCACAGCACTGACAGCATTGTTTGGCATAGTTTCTCATCAGTTTCGACTAAAAAGCGTACTGAAAAGTCAATGTTTTGTTTAAGCAGTGGAAAGGCGAGACGACGCATACATGTCAACTAGTAAGGTCGTGTTCAGACTTAGCGATGACGCGCTGTAACGCGGGACAATGCGCTGTAAAGCGCTAAACCGCGCGTAGACGAGCTACAAGCACAACAGCGCTCCAACTATATAGACGCGAAGGAAGCGCAGACGGCTGTTGCCGATAGATCCCGTCCGCGATCGGCACTTGTTCTTTCCTGCATTTCCACTACTGGGTATGTGAAATCGTAATATGCCGCGCCTGTGGGTGTGGCGAGCGACCCCGCGTGTGTATGCCATTAGGCGCGATCACTTCGCCATTGACCTGTCAAAACAGGCCAGGCAAACAGCCTTCCAGGTCCGGCAACTCGTCCAAAATTTCGAACTAGTGCATTTCTCCAAATGACCGTTAGGAGAAGACTTGATTAAATGGCAATAGCATCAAGGCCAGAGCTATCCAGGCTATCAATTACGAAAACCTTATGCTTCAGTGATTCGGACGTGTTACCCAACTTGCTAGACACATTTCATTACCTGTCGGAACAGGTAAATGGCAATGTAATCGTGCCAAACGACCGCTTCCCCGACCCCGCGCCCAACGGACGAGTTGCCCTGCCTTGTCGCCCGAATATGACTGTCAGAGAAACAGGAAAGTTCGATGTTGTCCGTAATGGAGTCTCTAGGAAGCATATAAGTTTCACTTCTCCAGTCGACAAATAACGCACATAGAGACTTCACCGTGCACCTTCGCATGATGCGCCGCGCGCGACGACGCGACGAACTGCGATTGTCTTGTCCGTCGCGTTGTGAACTAGCCAGCCGCCTCCCTTATCATTTCGCGCTGTTGCGTTTTGCGTCAGGACCACGGAGAAGGAAGTACCCACGTGTTCGATCATCTTCGCTAAAGCTAACTCTCCTCAAAGAGCGGGTAAACGGAACGAGAGATTTACTTCCGAATTAAAATACCACCACAGAACTAAACCCCAGAGCTCATGAATAAAAAATGTCACGAGATTCAGGATTTAGGCAAGGCTTGGCAATTGGCCAAAAACCGAACTCTTTAAAACGTGAGAAAAGATGTTTTGCTCGTGGCTCCAGCCGTTACGTGAGCTGCATCTTCGCATGATGCGCCGCGCGCGACGACGCGAAGAACTGCGGTTGTTTTGTCCGTCGCGAAACCGTTACGTGCTTGAGATTTCTGCCATGGGAGAGGCAATCGCTTCGCTTGACGCGATCACATTGCTGTTTCTGTGCTCTAACACGTAAGGGTACGCGACTACCAAGCTGGATAACTCGTCCGAATCGCTGAAGTTCAAGGCTTCCACATCTGATAGCATATATGAAGCTGTAAGTACTTGCTTCCGTTCCTATGTTTCTGAGTCGGACGAACTCCTAATGATCACCTCGACAAATGCGCCTATACAACATTTTGGACGAGTTGCCCTGCGGTGTCCGGCACTTCGGTGGCAAAGTTATCGCGTCAAGCGGAGTAGACCCTTGCCATGGTCATGCTACGTCAAGCCAGAACGCAGTCAGCAGAAGGACAGCAGCTGCACAAATACCGAAAGATACGAAGGGACACCTGATGAACCCGTCTATGTGCGTTTCAAACAGGGGTGCATCCGGATAGCTAAGCCACTTATCATGTGTGAAAAGTTGGAACATGTACGGCCGTAGCGGTAGAGAACCCAAATGGGTAAGAGAGCACAGACGGCAAGAAGAAATTGACGCGATTCAAAGGACTGGGTACAAGAAGGCCGCTAACAAGCAGAAGCGCTGAAATTCATTATCAGCAGTCGCGATTTTTCGCATGAACAACATGACTATTCTAGCAACGAAAAAAACTCGTATATGGAAGCCGAAACAAGTGATAAACTTCAAAGTAACGGGATAAAACTGTTTGTAATTGCTGGAGACAGTCTGGTCTGGGTGCTATCGGTGAAAGGGCAAATGACAGCCATCTCTTGCTCTCTGCACTTTCTTTTTCTCTTTGTTATCGCTGAAACTGATGCAGTGCCACGATGAGTGATCAAACCATTTCATTGACAAAAGTACTAAATAGTTGTAGTAAACGTTGAAATTGAAGTAAAGTGAAGGAAGAAAGAAATTTTGAAGCTACTTACAAGTACAGAATTAAACAATACCAAGAGTAAGAGCATGAAAATAACAATTAGTCAACGGTCACGAGACCATAGTACAGTGAATGGCCTCGACTGCAACATTATCGAAATGAAAACCCTTTCGTGCCATGCGACCGTTCCGTGCCAGGGTCACTTGCAAACGTGTGTATACGTGCCGAAACGTGATCTCAGGTATTAGAGAACTTCCTTCTGAGGTGACTTTTCATTTTGTATTACTTGATAGTAACAGGCACACAACCTCAACCGTAGTGATCAAATATGGATACAAGAAATCGGGGAAAAAGTTATATGAAACTAGAGCAAGTGCTAAACAGAGTGCCGTCGAGGACAGGAAAAGTGGGACTCAGCGGCCTGCGGAGGTCGTGGGAGGGCAGTACGACGTGAGGAATGAATGAACGGAAGGAATTCAACGTTTTCAGTGATGCGAATGTTGACATCGCACATGCCGTGAATATCGGGAAAACAGAAAACGCGCTACCGTATCGATCGGACTTCCAAAAAAACCGCCTATTTTTGAAGATCAACCCTGATCGATGGACTACGGTAATGTGACGGTCAACTAATGCGATGTGTGTAGAAGAAGAAAGCTCACTCTCGAGTGTTGAGCCTCGTAACCTCAGCGTTCCAAGGAAAATTCAGCAAAGCCAAGCTAAAGTAATTTTCCCCGCCGAAAATCAAATCGCCGAACAAAAAATGCTTTTACGAATTCGGAAAAAAAAAATCGCAGAGTTTGAAGAGGCTAATCAATCGCGTGCTCTTGAAGCCTGAGTGTGTCAGAAATCTAACTGTATGAACTGTAATTCCAAGGGATTTCCTGCTTTCGCGCCACTTCCAAGTTTCAAATGGTAGGCGGCGCACAAAATGTCCGCGTGCGCACGCTACCACCAGCTGCCTGGGAACGTGTAAGAGTACTTAACACCTACCGGAATGTCAAAGAATAGGACTAGGTTTCAGTGATAAAATTACATGTCTCTGGAATTGGTCCCGTGAGGAGGCTAGACTGCAGAGATATTCCAAAAACGGGGAAATACTGATGGCTAAAAAATTCTCTGAAAGCATCCTCCGATGAATTAGAGAGTCCCTACTTTCTTCCCTCAACAAGTGCGGTAAACATACTTATAGTGCAGTGCGCTGCGGACGGTTGGGCGTGTCAGACGGGATGAGTTTGGCGCGGTGCCAAACCCGTTCTCCACCAGTTGTAAAGCGAGCAAGTGATATGACTGTATCATATCGTTCGTATTACTCGTTTTCTACCACTTTTTGTCGCATGCGCGCTTCAACAAGAAGGCAGAGAACGGCTTTGACGGTGTGAACACTCATACTGCCTGACACGCCCAACCGTCCGCAGCGAACTAGAGTATACTCGTAGCCCAATCGTTATCCAATGAATACTTTAACATGCAGTGAAGGCATCGCACAAACTTGACCTCACAATCTTTACGGACCCGACAGGAGTGACGTGAATTTTTGAAAACACTCGAAAGAGAGCGAGTACACTGCACGTATTTCGCACATGTCACCGTAACGAACGCGACCAAGGAGAGAGTATACAAAGAAACGGTATTACTTGGCAAAATGAAGTGGTTTGAATAAAATTGAAAATTATTCTAATATAGTTTTGGATATCCTATCCGATTTTCAAAGAAGTAAAGCTGACACTCATACAAGCTTACTAATAAAATACAAAGAAATTTATAGCTGTATGTAATAACAATTCACCCTACGACAATCCAACCTACGATAGTGCGCGCGCGCGACATCAAGCAAAACGTTCCCCATTCGCTTCAGGTTATCTCGAATATTTATGACATTACTATGAGCTAAAATTATTCACTTCACATCCAGATTATTTCACAATACTTCCATTTTTGTAAAGAATTTCTCCGTTTACCAGTCCTATTTGGTTTAAGGCTACATCTAAGCTGCAAAGAAAAAGAAAAGCAGAACGAACGTTTTTTATTAGCAGTCCTTAGAATACTAGTGATTAACGCAATGGAAGTTTCTTGGGACCAAAGATGACTTTCTGCCCCTTGACAATAAAAAAAGATGTTGTTTTGCTTTAGTAAATTAACCGCGCTGTGGAGAGGTTCCGCGGGCGATGGCATTCACGGTGCAGACATTTTACTAGGTAGATCTACAGAGTAAGAACAGATTTCAATAAAGGCTCTACCTCCTCCGCAGCTGGTGTGAGAAAAATTGTTTGCGATGCTCTTGTCATTTTATTGTTTCCATGTTAAAAAATTTAATGTGAAACAGTAATATGCCAAGAGAAATCGTTACAGTGCCAGAAATTCAATACCTCGGGCGAACTTTGGCGTATTCGTTTGAGAATGACGAAAAACGTTTGAACTGTGTAAATATTTTCGACTGTTAATTCACTTTTGATCCTTTGACTGCTTACCGTATGGCAAAAAATGTGTCTTCGGTCGCGGAATGTCACGATATTTTGTGTTAATTTTTTTTCAAACATTGATGGTTATACGCATTTCGACTGCGCTGTTAATGTGTCACGTGATCTCTCCATATAATATGAGTAACCTAACTTGTTTTCAGGTACCAGTTAACCATTGATGTTTCATTGGCTTGATGTCACTTAACCGAACTCAACTTCTCTTTGTTAATCTATGCGCCTTGGTATTGTTCTTCTTTTATATAAATAGTCGTATGAATACGACGCAATGGGAGAATTTGTCGAAAAGTTCTGCTGATTCGATGGACCCAAGGTCGGACCTTATTGTTATTTATAACAGGGTAAGTATTGTACTACTAGTTTTTTTTGCGTTAATGCAATATGGTTGGGCCCTGTGGTGCAGAGAACCCAAGGTATATGGAACCATTGCAAAAAGTTTTCGTGGATTGTGAACGTGGCTTGTTATAGGTTGAAAGAGCTACGCAGCTGGACGCGTTCATACTTTGCGACTGAGGAGATTCGGCGACTTGGGAGTCTCGAAGACTCGAGAGATTGCGTGCCAAAGGAGTGGGCGAGTATCGATCGGCGCCGGATCGCCGATTCCCCCGAAACGCTGGACGAGACGCCGTATCGATATATTAGGTTGTTCGGAAAGAAATGCGCGTTTGAGTTTAAAAATTTTTTATTATAAAAACGAAATTAAACAAGATTAATTCAAAAGATAATCTCCATTACTATCAATGACTTGTTGCCAACGTTTATGCAAAGAATGGATTCCTCTTTCGAAGAACTCGGCCGGCTGCGACTCAAAGTAGTTGGACTTCTTCGCGGTTTGTGAACTTTCTCTCGGCCAGGGAGTGCTGCATCGACCGGAATTGAACTTTCTTTAAAAAAAAACAAAGTAGACATAGACAAAAATATATCAAAAGATGCACAATAAAAATCTCTTTCTAATAGACAAAACTGTTTTAAAAAATCTTCTATAGTAGGAGAGAAATAATGGACAAATTCAACGCGCATTTCTTTCCGAACAACCTAATACATCCGTTCCTGTTGGCGCACAATCGCCTCGAACGCCAAGACGCTCGCAAGGCCGATCGCCGATTCTCCCTAATCGCCAGATCGATACCTACACTTTTAGTCGCGCAGTCTCTCGAACTGCCATATCTCCCTAGTCGCCGAATCTACTCAGTCGTAATTTTATGAACGCGGCCTTATGTCTACCTTTGCTCCGCGCGCGACTCTCGTCGTCTGCGCCCCGTTAAGCTTGAGCCTTGGGCAAGGGAGGGACGCCGACGTGCCGTCATCCCTCCCTCCCCCTCCCCCCCCCGTAATATGTTGCCATCTGTGAACAATCAGTGAAATTTTTAGCCTGAGCCTAGGGGTAGAAGAACTCTGGAATCTGTGAAACGGGTCACCAACACAGCTCCTTCCCCCCCCCCCTTGAGACTCAGGAAGAATCTTCAACCCTTAGCTCGCCATCGTTCCTTGTCGCCTTCCAGCCTGTCCAGCTAGTAGTCCATCATAGAGATAAATGGAAGATAGTAAATACTGTAGCGCAACGAGTTTTTGCACAAACTACCTGGCCACCTTGCCATGATGCCTCGTTTTTGTTGTTGTTATCGAAGTCTCACTTATTTGCTTCAGGTACCTAAAACTGGTTCAACAACATTTACTAACGCTGTAGCTTATGACTTGTTTAAATTAAACAACTTTAATGTGATACATCTAAATATGACCAAAAATAGACAGGTAAGAACTATTACATAGTTCTTTTTTTCAATTATTAACTGTGAACATTTCAGGTTATGAGTCTCACAGATCAGAGCCAATTTATTGAAAATATAACTTCATGGAAGGATCGATTGCCTGCGTTCTACCATGGTCATGTGGCTTTTATAGATTTTGAAAGGTAAACTTTTACCTATCCTATTTATTTTCCTATATGGTCTTCGGTGAAATTCCTAGAGCTTTGCAGATTTGGGAAACCGAACCCTATTTACATCAACATAGTACGAGAACCCCTTGAACGTCTTTTATCTCACTACTATTTTCTTCGGTTTGGTGATAATTATCGCATCGGACTGAAGAGAAGCAGAGCTGGAAATAATGAGGTATGACTGGCATATCTGGTTTATTTTTGTTCATTTAGTTTAAAATTGATGGACAGTAAGGCAACGTTCTGACTTTGCGACGGCAGCGCTTCGGTCGCGCGACCGAGGCGTCTGCCGTTGCGAAGTCTGAATGCTGCCTAAGACTGCATTCGGGCTTTGCGAATGTGGAGTATCCGCAATTTGGAGGAATCACATTTCGGGGCAAGCATTATCGATCCGAATCTGTGGGTAGAGGGGTAGTGCATGATTTCAGACGATGTGCGCCAAAGAAGTTCACTGGAATAATTTGACTTCCCTCACTATCAAAACGCGAACTCTCTGGGAACGTTGGTGGGTGGAGTCGATCGATTCCCGGGTGTGGAGCATAACTTCCCAGTCGCGGCATCGCAGCACAGGTTGACTTGGAGGATAGAGTGATGCGCAGGATGCTGCCATGCTGAGTGGGTTGGGTCTTGGAGCGAATGTCGCGTAAGTCACACATAAGCAGCGCCTATCTTGCCGCGATTGGAACTAGCGCTCCACACATATCGATTCCCGGTCGCGAGTTCTCTCAAATCTCGCACTTTTTGGAAAGCTATTTTTTTCTTCAGGTGAATGTTTATAGATCTCTTTGTTGTCAATTCTCCGTAATTGCGGATTGAACTACACTTTCACCGAATAAATGCCAAGGTTGTTTGGCTTGGGAAGGGGGGGGGGGGAGGGAGGGCATTTTGCGCTTTTGCTACTTCCCATTGTGGTGTACATTGCATTGGAAGAGTTGGCAGGTAGTCTTCATAAGATTTGAACAGTAGTTTCTATAAAATTTAACTGATATCATTTCATGGCTTCACAGGAGCTCACGGGTCTACCTTGTGGCTCAGCACGACAATGGAAAGTAGCGAAAGAGCGAGGAGCCTCCTTCCCCCACCCCCATGCGGAACTGTGCCGAATGCGTGAACTGTTCATCCTTCTTACCTTATTGCGCTTTCTGAGTTTCGCCCCAGTCTGCGAACTGGAGCACAGGAGATTCGGGAATACGCCAAAATGATTCCATACGTATCAAACAGCATAAGCGAAGTCGTGATTTTAAAACGCGCGAACCTTGGAGACAACAGAACACATACATATCTTGCCCTTCACGGATTTTCCTAGTCCCTATGTAACCTTCCGCGTTTTTTCCTCTTTCACTAGGTCACTGGCAATGAGCAGTGCTCCTCAGAATGCTCACTCCAGTTCACTTTTTTGGTGTATTTACAGAACAGTTGCCCGTGAACACATCAAAGTACAGTCATGATACCTGCAAACGATAGGGCATGTGACGCGTCGCGGACTGCAGCGCGGCCAAGATGCATTTTTCCACCAATGATGCCATCCTGAGGCCGATAGAGCTGCTAGGAAATCTGATCTGGCTGCGCTCCATGCAATGCGCCCGTCACACGCCTTATCGTTTGCAGGGTCACGACCGCATTATGGTGTGTTGTAGTGTGTCTGTCCAATAGGTGATTCTGTTCCAGACGTTTGACGAATGCGTGGCACGTGGTGGTCGTGACTGTGACATGAAACAGATGTGGCTTCAAATTCCATATTTTTGTGGGCACCACCACTTCTGCACGTTAGTTCTTGCTCACACTGTTTTCATTCATCCGGATTCTTTTATTAATTAGGTACTCGTATTTCACTCCTGAGCGATGCTTGGTTTTCTTTGTTGAGAGCAGCTGACGCTTTCAACTTCTTCTTTTCAGTGTCGTTGGAAGTAAGCTTGCACTGGAGCAAGCTAAGAAGAATCTGATTGACAAGTATTTGTTAGTTGGTCTGAGTGAGCAAATACGGGATTTCATAGCTCTTCTAGAACGTCTTGTGCCTCGTTTCTTCAAGGGAGCCCTTGAACACTTCGATGGTCTCAGTGGTGAGTCTCACTTTTTTTTTCTGGCTTCCCTTTCTTGGCGTATTCATCCTGAGAGTTCGAGCGCGAGCTTTATGTCTAGACTAGAGGCATCTTTCGAATTTGCCGGGTGGGGGGCTGGCAAAGTTGTCATTGGTGCACTATTGTGCTCGCCCTCCATTATGGTGAAGAAGGCGGGGCTAATTTTGGAAGCATCAATGACCTCGTTGTCTGGCCCCGCCTACCCGGAAATCTCGGAACGACCTCTTTAATCTAATCGTAATTTTTTGGAGAACACTACGTACATCTTCTGTACTATTATAGAGAATCGGGCTCACTTGCGGTACACGAAACGGAAATACCCTCCAAATGAGCAGACATTATCGATTATACGAAGAAATGAGGTTTACCAGTTAGAGAGAGAATTCTATGACTTTGCTAAGGAAGAGTTTCAGGCAATTTTCAAGTGAGTTAATTTGTCCTGTACAATTACTGTTGTATATTTTAGTAAATTTACTTATTCACATCATTCAAGAAAAGCAACCAATGGAACCAATAACGCTTCGGATATTCTTCGACTGAAATCGCAGTACCACTATGAAAAGATCAAACCTGAAAGACCAGTCGACGTCTGATGTGTAGTGCAGGAAGCAGCACCTTCGTCAGCTACCTCCATGTATGCGGTTTCTTACTTTTGAATTGTAATACCCGATAGTACACATTTGAACTTACGGTAGCGATAGGGTGTCGTTACTTGGAAATTATTACTGTTGTTTTTGGTAGCATAGGCCTTCACTTTTACTTCCTGTTATCGATTGATCTTTTCGGGTGGTCTGTTATGCCCAATCCATGTGTCCTCATAGGGTCAACGCAACTGTATACTTTCTAATGGGTTAGCTTACCTTCACCTAGTATCTATCAAAACCGCCAGTTGCAGTGGTTTGTGTATAGCAATAGTGAGTTGTAAAGCTGTTGCTTAGAGAGTTTTGAGGATGGGGGGGGGGGAGGTGGAGGTGGGTGAATTGAACACCTAGTTTTGCCCATATATCGGCATTTGTGTGATCTCGGACAATCCCACGAAATCGTCCAGGATCGACCTTCTCTTATTCTTGGCATTGTGTATTTTCAAGTTAGTGGATAGGCTGAGCCGTCCAAGATTTTTATAATTTATCGGTCAACGTTCCTGCTACTTTGCCCCACAAAATTAGTGTAACCTTTTCCCGTAGGGATGGACCACTTTCCGGAGGGCTAATTATGTTTTGAACCCCTACGTCCTTCGGGAACGTTATAGGGTGCTGAAAATTTTGCCTACGATCTCCTCCGTCGATTTCTGGCGGGGGGAGGGGGGGGAGGAGGAGAAGGAGTCGTCTGATCAACTATCAGAGATATACTAGAGCTCAACAACACCACCTATTAGGGAAGGGTCGCATGGGGGAGGGGTTGAATTGAGCTTTTGCTCGTGAGTCGGCGCTCGTGTAACCTTGGGCATTCCCACAAAAATTTTTTTAATTACTTCCCGTGGGGTTAAATACGTGAAAGGATATAGTAGCAGTATTCTTCGCATGATTGGGGTAATGTGCGCATTGAAAACTGCATCAGAAGAAAACTGTTAACAAAGGAAAACAAATCGAAACATTAAGCCCTCCCATGCGGGAGGAAAGGGCAGGTCTTTAATGACTGCAAAAAATACGGACATGGTCTCTCCCTCTCCCTCTTTCTCTCTCTCTCTCTCTCTCTCTCTCTCTCCCTCTCTCTCTCTCTCTCTCTCTCCCTCTCTCTTGGAAATCTGAGGGAACTACCCACTTCGGACGGAGGGACAAAGTTGGTCAATCCGACTGGCCCTCTCTCTTGAAAATTACTCTTCACACAAGAAGTTGGATTCGCTCGCTCTCTTTTTTTCTGGGAGAAGACCCACTTCAGACGAAGGATGGCCTTTCCTTTCTTGGAAATGTGTGGGGAAGACCCACTTCACACGAAGAAAGATCCGTCGGCGAAGCCGAAGGCTCTCTTTCTTGGCACCGACAGGACGACGAAAAGCTCAATCGTTCGTCGTCGCGGTTCTCTCCTGCTCGACCGGGCTCTAAGCCCCCACATCTCTGGGGAATATTATGGAGATGTGCAAAAGGGTTGATACGATCTCTTCTCTCAAATTCTATCGAGGGGAGGGAGGAAAGGAGGCATCTGATAAATTATCAGAATTATTGTAAAGCTGCAACACCATCTAATTAAGGAGGGAAGGGAGGAATTGACCCCTAAGGTTGGTCTGTAAGACGGCGTTCGCTTAATCTTGAACAATCCCACAAACATTTTTGTAACTACTTCCCAAAGGATCAAGTTGTGAAAGACACAGTAACAACATTCTTGGCGTCACTGGAATAATCAAGCACCCGATCAACTACCAGCTATGTTGTGAAGCTTCAACACCAGCTACGTAGGGGAGCATGAAGATGAATGAGGTTCTCAAACTGGGAAAGACAGTCCATATAGAGGCTACGCGAATGGTCAGCTCGCGTCTGTGTCCATTCGCGGTGGCTTGCGGTTGTGATATTGGGGGAGGTCCTACAAGTTTCTGTCCCTTTTCAAACCTTTTTTGAGTCAGATTGCGTACAGTGGAGTTCCCATCCTACCTACGGTGAGGCGGTCCTACAACCACGCTGGCGAGCGGTCCGACGGTTGCGTGTCGGTAGAAAGGCGGAGGCCGGGTGCGATTGTCAACACTGCCTCTAGGCTCTCTAACACTGACTGTGGAGTGTATGTCATTTGACGGATCACTTTTCCACCGACGTGTCAAAACATGTTAGCTAAAACCCCTTCCAATTAGATAACTCGTCTAAAATTAGGAACAAGCACATTTCCATAACAAAACATGGTCATAAGGAATCCAGCTAAGAGACATGAGTACTGAATCCTGCACTCATGGCCTTGTGCAAGCAACTAATTGCAAGAACCTTACCGTTCAGTGATTCGGGCGAGTTATCCAACCTGGTAGACCCGTACCATTACCTGTCAGAACTCGTGAAATCAATGTGATCTCCCCTAACGACCGCCTTCCCTGACTCTGCGCTCGAATGCACGCCGCCTCACTATCTGCTCACTCTCCCGTCTGGACTCTCGCCGACCCGTAATTGCTAGCGCTCTCAGTCCGTCTCAGGGCGCTTGTCAACCGCGGAGCCTCTCTTCTGTTTCCCTCTTCTTCCTCAATCCTTCTTTTGCTTCCTTCCTTCTTTACCTTCTCCTTTCAACTACTCGGCTAGTAGATGCGATGCGAGAGAATACCTCTGGACCCTCACAGCCGGCTGACAACAGCCCTGTGACCCTCCCAATCAGCTGATTTTTGCGGTATTTCGGCTGTATTTTGGTTACATATTCAGCTTATAAAAGCTGAAATTATACTTTTTTCGACTTCAATTGGGAAAGGTGAGTATGTCTACTAAAACTCGATTACATTTTGCATGGTACTTAACATGAACTTCTCTTGGAAAATTGGTTTTTTCTTCCTATTTTCGCATTTTTAACACGATGACGACAATCGCGTTTGGCGAGAAAGCGCCGCGTGGGACAATGGCGTTTTTTCGCATAAATCCGCTATGAGCCACCGGTGGCTCATATTGTCCCTCGTGGACCACTTTTTTGCCGCTATGTCACCGGTGGTTCAGAATGTCGTCAACGAGTTAACTTCTATTGTATGCCTCCGTCTAATTTCGATGTTATTGACTAGAATCATGCAAAATGAAATCCAGCTCCAGTAAACTATACTAACCTTCCCTTATTGAAGCCGGATAAAGAATAATTCCAGTTTTTAATAGCTGAAACCAACAGAAATCACTTCAATGAGCGTATCAGCCATTATCGTTCGCGACGGCGTTAGACCCAGGGCACGCCATCGCGTTGTGATCATTTTCTGAAAATTACGACCCCCCAATTCCATACTAAAATACGACCCCCTTTTGGGAGTTGGTACGACCCCCCTCCCAGCCCTCTGTCCTTCCTCATCGAACCGAGCCGTCGAGCGGGGGGGGGGTCGTCATTAATCA